TACAAATTATTATTAGTCATAGTCAATCTCTTTCTAAAAGAAGAAAGGGGGATAGGATATAAAAATGTATGATATAGAAATGGTAGGATAAAAGCGTACATTATTGAATCTGCTTTAATCCAAGAAACAACAGTTAATCTCAAAATACTTTACATTGGTATGGATTTCAGGTTTTGATACAAATTTAAAGTTAATTTTATTATACTATATATATATATATATATATATTTCTATCTTGTTTAAAGTATTATGTTTATGCAGCTCATTTAAAAATGTAATGTATAGTTAAGAAATACAAATTAATAGTCATCTATAACAGTCAAAACTTAGTCATGTTACTTAAGTTTCCTGGGTATACATAGATATATTTCAATTAGGTAGGTAATCTTCAAACACTTCAAAGATCTACAGAATATGACATTTAAAATGTTTTAAGAACTTAGACTTTTCTGGACATTGAGACATGTCTGCTCCTGGCAGCACCAATATACTTCAGAGAAGATGATGGGCATCAAAGAAACTCTGTATAGGAGTTTGCTTTCTTTATGGCAAAAGTTAGCCATCTGGGCAAGTAACTACTCTTGCCTGGACTTCTTGATAAAATGTTGTATCGACCGGACATGAAGGATCATAGGAAGGTGACCACTGAACTTTGCAAGATAAGGTGGTCCTTCAGGTTCTTGCTTCACAGAAGAAACTGAACATGGAGAGAAGTAATGGATGAACTTTGTCAGAATGGGTGGAACAGGCCTTAAAATTTCCTGATTCACTGAAAGCTATGCCAGACTCTAGCCTGTAGACTGAAGATGGATGCCCCAACGTTGCAAAGGAACTTTGGGTGACTGTCCAGGCACTCAGATGTTTCTGTCATTTCTGGAATTTTGGAAGTTACTTCCTGTTTACTCAGGTACTATTATATCCTTCTGGGGTCTTTGATGGAGTTGAAGACTAGTTATAATTATAGTTTTCCTTAGTTATAATAAAAGATAAATTAGATAAAACATTTTAGACTCACAAAAATATAATAAAATACTTTTACTTTTGCCAAATACAAATAGACTAGATATTGTAACTGTAATTCTTGCTTGATAACTGCTTTGTCATAGTCACCATGTGGTTGCCAGGAATTGAACTCAGGACCTCTGGAAGAGTAGCCAGTACTCTTAACCTCTGAGCCATCTCTCCAGCCCCAAAAAATCCTTTTTGATTAGACAGAAAAGGGGAAGTGCTGTGGGATATCTTTCTGTATGCTGTGAATATGTGTGTCTCCCATTGGATAATAAATGAAGCTGTTTGACCAATGGCAAGAAAGCTTATAGCCAGGTGGGAAATCCAAGCAGAGAGACAAAGAAAAGAGCAGAGTGGGGAGAAATGCCAGCCGTCACCCAAGGAGCAACAAGATGCCAGCAGACCAGTAACGCCAAAGCTACATGGCAAGATATAGATTAACAGGAATGAGTTAATTTAAGATGAAAGAGCTAGTTAGCAAGAAGCTAAAGCCATAGGCCATACAGCTTGTAATTAATACAAGCCTCTGTGTAATTATTTTATAAGCAGCTGCGGGACTGCAGGGCCGGGCGGGACCGAGAAAGTTCCAGCTACACCAGTCTGGTCTACACAGTGAGTTGCAGGGCAGCCAGGGATGCACAGAAAGATCTAACTTCAAAATTAAAGTGTTGCTAACATAGATCAGCCATCAAGTCGCCGCACTGGGGCGCACCACTCTCTCTGCAGGACTAGGTCTTGCTCAAACGCCCATCTAAGCTGTATCGATTTGGGTTTGGGGTTTGCTTGGGTTTTTTTTCCCCCTTGCATTGAGTAATCTTGTGTAGCTAGTGAGGTTTTTCCATTATCACCACTGAGAATGGGACAGAGCAGGAAGGACAGAAAAAAATTCTATGCAAGAGCAGAGTTCTCCCCAGTTAGTTTAAGAAACTGTGATCACGTCGGCTTAACAGAAGGCCTCTTGCCAAGTTAGGACCTCACCTCTTCGAAAAGCTACTGAAAGAAAGCAAAAGGTTTCACCCTCCACAGGTGGCAAAGCCCATTCTTTGACACACACTTTAACTCTGGCAACTCCCTCAAGGACTCATTGAGAATGAATTTCCAAGACAGTTGACCTCTGGAGAGCAGGGACAAGTAGCTAGATTCAAGCAGGGGAGTCTGGCTTCCCCTTCCCAACTGTCTCAGGGAGTGGGCTCAAAAAGCACTGTGCTCAGGTATGACAGAACATTCGAGAAAAACTGCAGCAGGGGCTGGGGAGGCGGCACAGTGGGTAAGAGCATCCGCTGCTCTTCAAGAGGATCCAAGTTCAGTTCCCAGCACCCCCATCAGGCAGCTCAGAATTGTCTGTAACTCCAGACCCAGGGGATCCATCCCCCTCTTCTGGCTGCCATGGGCTCTGGACTGACATGCATGTAACCCCCACACAAACACATAGGCACATAATTAAAAATTAATTTTAAAAATTAAAAGAAAAAATTGAACTAGCACTGGTCTGTCCTTTGCCATCTCTTCCCTCAAACACTGTTTGCATAAATTCCCCCCTAACCAGAAGCCTAGTAAAGCTGGTCATTAATGTTCAGGTCATCTCCAGTAAAGCCATTCCTACACACTAGTCATGTCTACAGTCACAGTGCGCTCTTCTATAAACTTCTCCGTGGAAATGTGCTCCCGTCTCAGTATTTTCTCAGCTAAGAAGTAAAATAGTTTCACATATTTAACGTATTTATAAAGTGATGAATAAACTGAAGCAGGGTTAAACAAATATTTAGGAACAACGGAGGAGGAGGTGGTTTTGGCTCAAAGAAACCCAGGACTGAAGGCCGGGTTTCTTCTCCCTCCCTGAAGGTTCCGTCCGGTGGTGTACTTTCAAGGCTGAGCATGCAGAACTGGTTTTCACAGCAAACACTAAGCTGCCCCCAGAGCAGAGAGTATCGGAGATGAACTTCACCCAGGGTGAGCTCAGATGTGGGAGAGGACAGGCAGCCTTTTCCCCTTGCACTAGCTGTCTTCCCTGAGCTAAAACTTCACCCTTAACACCAAGGCTGACTGAGCACACATTCTAAGGCGCATTCCTCTAAATGGAACACGTAAGCAGGGAATCGGAGAAGGAACTGCTTAAGCAGTGAGTTCCTTTTCGAAGAGGTAAAAGGTTTGGATGGGAGGGAGGGAGGGCTCGCCACACAGTCACTGGCTGTAACTTGAGATCTGCACCCCTCTCCAGGCACCACTCTCTGTGGCTGCATGGGGAGTACCTATCCTACAAACAGGAGAAGCCTTGCCTGGGCTTTGTAGGCTCACAGCTGGGCCATTCATGGAAACTGGGATGGAGCTGTTCAAAGGGCTTCCCAGTACATGCTGAACCAGCATGAAATGGCAGATGTGTGTCTTCAATACAGGGATCACAGCAGCATCACAGAAGGGAGTGGATAATCACCACCTTCGGATCCTGGGCAAAGAAAAAGGTCAGATTCACTTGACAGAGATGTCCCGGCTCTTAAAAAGTGCATCCTGACTGGCTAGTCATTTATTGTTCACTTACTTATATAACTCAGCAATTTCAAAATCCTAATGATTCACCCTGGGCTGTGGTAGCACGTGAGTTAGGAGAGTCACCTTAGATCTGAGGCTAGCCTGGGCTACAGAGAATTCAAAAACAGTCTATATACAGCAAGACCCTGTCTCAAAAGACAAAATTCATACAAACAGAAATACTCACCAGGGACACCTGATTCAGAAAACAAAAATAAATTTTTTTTCTTATTTTGTGTGTGTATGTGTGTGTGTGTGTGTGTGTGTGTGTGAATGTGTGTGTGTATGTGTGTGTGTGTGCGTGTGTGTGTGTGTGTGTGTGTGTGTGTGTGTGTCTCGGGGTATATGCATGTGTGCAAGTGCCTGAGTCCAGAGGCATCCGATCCCCCTGCAGCTACTGGAATTACAGACTACTGCGAGCCACCAATGTGGGTGCTGGGAACAGAACTCAGGTCCTCCTCAAAAGCAGAGCCTTCTCAATAGCTGAGCAATTTCTCCTAGGCCCCAGACCCTGACTTTGACCGGAACGAAGTCACTGCAATTAGAGCACAAACCAAGTCATAGGCAAGTTATATGGGTCCCTGTGCAACAGCCTTTCCGTCTACAATCATTTACACCACTATCGGGTACGCCGGGGGTCCAGAACCTTGTCAGATACTCTGAACTGCAGCTGAGTAAACAGAAAAAAATACAGGATGACTGAAAAAGAAACCAGAACTCAACATGCTCCTTTCATGAGTCACAACTCCCATCTTCTGGCATAAGCAGTTCTGCCCAGGTGGCCACAGTGCTCAGCATGACACCCTAGAAACAGCACGTTCTACTTCTGTACAAGACTTGCTAGCAGCAGAGTCATGGGAGAGTCAGGCCAGCAAAATGCTCCAAAGTGCATGAATCTGCAGATCAACCCTTGACCAGCCTTCTGAGTCTAAAACTTACCAAAAAAAATCAGCAGTAATGTATCACATGCTACTCCAAACCAAGACATAAAATTAACTGTCCCTAATGGAAAAAAATGCATGTACTCATCCCATATAATAAATAAAAACACCTTCTTATCATGAAGATAAAATTAACCACTGAAATAGTTCAATAAGGCATTTAGGGGCCAGGAGGTTGTTCAGTAGTAACAGTGCTTGCCACTCAGTCTGATGACCAAGTTTGAGCCCTAGGACCCACCTACATGGTAAGAGAACAGAATCTTACAAACTGTCCTCTGACCCCCACCACCACCCCACCCCACACGCATGTACACACTCATGCACGATTTTATTTTTTAACCTAAGAAAGGATTTGAGGATAAGTACTAATAGACGTCATTGCTGGGAATTTATTTCCAAGCCTTGTTTAAACACTATTTTGATGTACAACAGAAGGCCATCAAAGCAGAAGTAAAGACGCTGACTTACCTCAGTTTATCAATACTCCCAGTACCTCCTTTTGATTCAAACATCCATACACAAAGAAAGGTTTCCAGCTTTTAATTTTTAATGTAACATACAGAGCCACAAACAGCATTTCTCTCTCAATTTATGAGAGGCAGCACATTTAAATATGTTTGGATTTGACAACTTGCTGTCACAATACCAAGAAATATCAATAAAGTTATTTTTTAAGATGATGAAATATCTTTTTGTTACATAAGCCACATATTGATTGCAAGTTGCTTACCAATATACAGTATTTTGAACTTCAAATTATTAAAAAAAAAAAAAGACTGTCAGATTATGTAGATATACACTATCTTCCTCAAACTCATCCCATTCCGAAACTGAAGATAACTGTTACACACCAGAACATTTCCCAAATGGCACCTCCTTTGCCCTTGACTATAAATGTCAAAAACCAAACTTTAGTTTCCTAAAGACACAGCTATTTCTAGAATACACAGGTATAATCGTGACAGACTACTAGAACTAAATGACTACTTCTATGTTAACACTTTTTACTATAGTGAAGCTTTCCTAAAAAGAAAAAAGGTGTAGAAAACTCAGATTTCCCCTAATGAACTGAATACAGCAGACTCTCCTCCTTCCTGCCTTCATACACTTCCACGGTCTTCACTGGGAGCCGCCCCCACAGCCCAAGCTCTGTACAATCATCCTGGTGAGATGGAGATTCGGGGTCACAATATCATTCCCCCAGCGGGGCACCATACAGTTTTACAGCAGGTAAAAAGGCTAAGAAAGGCCACAGTGGGCAGTGCCAGACACCAAGAACAGCAGATCACACGGACTACTGAAGCTCAGGAAACACCATGAATTTCAACTGCTTTTACAGCAACATCAACAAAACACATTTAGAGAAACGTAAGAGTGAAAATATTTAGTTCCACTGTTGATAATATAGTTTTCAGATACTGTTTCCTCTGTCAAATGAACAAATTAGTTTAAGAGAGAGGAAAGTGAGCAAGATCAACATGGGAAAACTTTTCCTTGTTTTCTCCTCAGAGGAAAGCACTCGGGTTGGCGCGAGGGTCTTTCTGGTTTCTGTATCTGTAGGTCAGCCAAACACCCAGGATCTGGAATTAAAACAAGAAAAATCAAGTGTTGTGTAGATTTCATCAACAGAATAACTGAAACTTCTGAGTTGCTTTTGCTTGGTTTTTTTTTTGTTGTTGTTGTTCAAAGAGGGGACACATGAGGCAAATTGAAGGGCAGGCCCTAATACACTGAAATATGAACACTGTGGTAGACTGCGTGCTGCCCGGAACCTGCGAGCATTACTTTCTGAGATCAATGGCCCTTGGGTGGTGTGATTATGCTAGGGAGAGGTCTTCAGGTGGGCTCAATGGTGCAGTCACTGTGGTCCTGAGGAGGAGAGCTGAGGTGGAGCAAGTGAGGGAACAGAGACAAGGTGAGGACAGGGCAGGAAGCCAGAGGCACTGCGGGGTCCACACGGGCAGCTGGGTTTGAAGCTGGGACAGCAAGCTTGACTTTTCCATTTTGATCAACAGCCAAACGTGAACTCTGCATGTTTTTTGCATTTATTTGTATTGTTCTTAATTATGTGCATGTGTGTATGTGCAGGCGTGCCTCCCGGAGTCTAGAGGTACTGAAGCCCCCTGGAGCCCGAGTGACAGTGACTGGGAACCACCTGACCTGGTCATCTCCACGATAACTGCCCTAAGCAGCAAGCATTACTAACCCCTGAGCCATCTCACCAGCCCTGTCAAGTATTTCTAATAACAAGAATATTTGGAGTCAGTTATTAAATCAAAAGTTGATAGATTCTTCTCAGAAGACGATTTACCAATACAAAATTTCATTCATTGCTTATTTGGACAGGCTCTCACTATATATATAGTCCAGGCTAGCCTGGAACTCAGAGAGATCCACCTGCCTCTGCTTCCCAAGTGCTATGATTAAAGGTACGCACCACCAAGCCCAGCTTTTCAAAATTTCTTGACTATTCCCATACTATGTCATATTTTATAACTAGAAATGCACCCCAAGAGGAAAGCAGGGTGCATGGAAACAACATTCCACATACAGGAGTCAACTGTGTAAATATTTACATATTAAAAGGAAATTAAGTGGTTGGGTTGACAAGATGGTGCAGTAGGTAAAGGCATTTGCTACAAAGCCTCATGAACTGAGGCCCTTGGCTTTGACTGCCAAGACCCACATGGTAAAGAGAAAGAACAGACTCCCAAAAGTTGTCCCCTGATCTTTACACATGCATCTTGGCACAAGTGCACCCACACCCAGATAATTAAATAAATGTAAGCTGGGCAATAGTGATGGTGCACACTTTTAATCCCAGCACTTAGGAGGCAGAGGCAGGAGCATCTCTGAGTTCGAGGCCAGACTGGTCTACAGAGCAAGTTCCAGGGAACACAGGGCTACACAGAGAAACCCTGTCTCAAAAAAACAAAAATAAATAAAATAATTAATAAATGAATTGAACTTTTTTTAAGAGATGGGGTGGATGGCTTAGAAGGTGGAGGGACTTCTCCCGAAGCCTGATGCCCTGAGTTCAATCTTCAGAAACTAAATGATCCTGACACACCCACTGTGGCAATGCATGTCGCCCCCAACACACACACCAAATACATGTAATTTTTTAAAAAGAAAATTAAACGGTCAACAGACTAAGTAATCCCACTTATGGCTAAATTCTAACCATACAAAACACAGAATGTTTGCAACTTCATAAGGATGTCTGCTGCTCTTATAAATAGCCGACTGGGCTTCTCTAGCTACACACACAAACTTCATTAAAATAATTATTTGATTCATAGTCTTCTGTTCGCTATTTAAAACCGAAGTGTGATGTGGACATCTGAGGTTTCAATAATAATGACACATTGTCTTTTTCTAATAGGGCTATGACATATACTAATAATTTACCAATGGCTGCAAAACACTAGCTACCCTTTTGCACCAAGAAACGCTCAAAGCATTCCAAATTTTATATGCACTGGCTCCTTTAGGCTTCACACCAGAGGTGGCTACTACGGTTGTTATTCTCTTTAGAGCAAGATTAAATAACTTGCCCCAGGACACACAAGGAGGAAGTAGACGCACTCAGTTTCCAGCCCGGTCACTTCAGCTTCTGCTCTGTGCCATGGATCTCAACTGATCCAGCATATTGATAGGAAGCAAAAGGGGCCCAAAGATTTATCAGGAAAATAAATGGCTTGAGGGCCAGAGAAACTGCTCAGCAGTTAAAAGAGAGCACATGCTCCTCTTACAGAAGCCTGGAGTTAGTTCCCACGTCTAGTGGCTCACAACCATCTATACCTCCAGATGCAGAGGATCTGACACCCTCTTCTGCCTCCAGTGACATCCACACTCAAGTGCATATACCTACACATAGGCACACATTCATGCACATAATTAAAAATAAACCTTTAAAAGTTGCTTATAAATAGCTTTGTGTATTCATTTTATGTTGTTATATAGTTATTTCCATGAAATAAAATACTACATATGTAATTTTTTTAGTTAAAAGCGAATTTTAAAACTGTCATGGTGACTCATGCCTATAATACTAGCACCCAGGAGGCTGAGACAAAGAGAATTTAAGACCAGCAGGGGCTATATAGGAAGACCCTGCCTCAAAAACAAGAATTTTTTTCTTGATACATATTACCCACTCAGAAGCATCAAGAAATGTTCACAGATATTGAGAGTTTAAACACAGAATTAGCATTCTGGTCCTGTTTACTAATAGATAAAAGTTTGCTAATTAGTTCAAATACATTAATGTAATATAAACATATACAAATAATGACAGTAGCTACCTACAGGTTTTAGAAAGGCAGTAGCAGAGGAAAAGGGGGTGTTTCTGTTCATTCCCACCAGCCTGCCTGTCCTTGGCGATGGCAGTCACATCACCTGCCGCCAGGCACCCCAGGAGCGGCGCATTTCCACCGTCCCAGGTGGTCCTCCGCCACGTCTCTCTCGCTCGTCTCTTGCCTGTTCTGTCTGGCTGCCTGGCTGCCTCTCATGTCCCCACTCTGCCTGGCTGCCTCTCATGTCCCCACTCTGCCTGGCTGCCTCTCATGTCCCCACTCTGCCTGGCTGCCTCTCATGTCCCCACTCGAGACGGCCTGCTGCTCTTCCCCTTCCCCTCCCCCCGTTGCTCGCATTAGACCCGTTCCTTGTGCAGTTTCTCAGCGGCTCACCTCGGCAGGGCCGCCGAAGGTCCCCTTTCCACCGCTTTCTATCCCTTCTGTGTCAGGCAAATTTTTTTAAAGTTGAAAGTAATACAATTTTTATATTTTTTATTTTCGAGATTACAATATAATTACATTTCTCCCTTTCTTTCTTCTCTCCAAACTCTTCCATGTACCCCTCCTCAATCTCCTTTAGATCCATGGCCTCTTCTTTCATTGTTATTACATGCATAAATATATACGCCTATTCCTAAACATAATCTTCTCAGTCCATATATGTCATTCTATGTATGTTTTCAGGGTTGACCATTTGGTACTGGATAACCAGTTAGTGAGCTCTTCTCTGGGAAAGATCACCCACTTCTCCCACTCTCAGTTTTCTTCAGCTACAGGGGCAATTTTTTTTTTTTTTTCAGAGACGGTTTTTCTGTGTAGCCCTGGCTGTCCTGGAACTTGCTCTGTAGACCAGGCTGGCCTTGAACTCTGAGATCCACCTGCCTCTGCCTCCAGAGTGCTGGGATTAAAAGTATGTCCCACCACCGCACAGCAATAAGGGCAATTCTTAAAAGCAAATGTGTGTATTATAGTATTATATATTAGCATATATTAAGTAATATAAATGTTCTACTTATGAAGAAATCAAACTATAACTTATTGTGTAAATCTAGAAAGAGAAGAAAGCTCAGAGCTAACTCCCTCAATCTCTTTTCATTTATTACAATTAACACAGGACAAACAGATCAAGAATGGTACTCCATCATAAAGTTTATACAAGATTTGCCAGATGTCTGATTCCAAACTAGGCTGTTCCTAGCTTCCTGTGTAGTGACCTCAGGGAAAGGAGCTTTTGGGTGTTAGGTATTCTGCCGAAGTGCAATGCTCTGTCCTCTAGACAAAAAAACAAAACTCCCCACCACAAAGGGAGAGGACAAACCTCTGTAAAACTGAAGAAGAGGCCGATGCCACCAACAAATCTCAAAACATCTCCAGCATATGCTCCGATTATGGGGGAGCATGGTAAGCACTTATGTCCAACTTTAGCACAGGTCTGTATGGATAAAAGAAAAGACTTGTTACTTCAGAGTACATTGATTAAAAAAATACACATATAAAAACTACATCCAATTAGAGTATGGATTTTAAATTGTGTGTAAATTTCCAAGATGGTCATATGCTCTGTAGGATCCATCCCTTTCTAGGAACTATAAATATGATGGGTAGATGTCTAGATTGCATTGTGTAAGACTCCATTCTACCAGACCAGAGAGATTCTCATGCTTACTTACATGCACTGTAAGATACCTAAGTATGTACCCCATAAGCTCCTCTATTTGAATGGTTGGTTACCAGGGAATGGAACAGTTTGAAAGGATTACAAGGATCAGGTGTGGCCTTGTTGGAGAAAGTGTATCACTGGGGGTTGGATTTTCAGGTTTCAAAAGCCCACACTAAGCCCAGTTATCTCTCTAAATATATGTACACACACATACATACATACACACATACATACACACACACACACACACACACACACACACACACACACACACACACATATATATATATACCCTGCCTGCAGATTGGAATGTAACTCTCAAGTACTTTTCCAGCACCATGTCTGCAGACCACACTGTTCCCCTCCAAGATGACAAGTGGAATAAACCTCTGAAACTGTAAGCAAGCCCCCAACTAAATGCTTTCTCTAGTAAAACTGTCTTAATCATGGCGTCTCTTCACAGCAATAAAACTAATGGTGACTAAGACACCGCTGACAGCCACCAAGCCATCAGGACAAGCCTAAAAGAAAAGTGAGTCCACAAACAACCACTGAGCAAGAGGGAGGACACACACCAAGCCTCAAGTGAATGCCAGTCTCCACAGACACCTCATTTCAGCATCATGAGACTCTGGTGTTAACTGTCAGCATGACAAAATCTAGATTCACCTGCAAGACAGGGCTTCGTGAGGGGTTGTCTTGAATAGGTTATGAATAAGAACATTTTAATGTGGGAGGAACCACCTTGATGGACTCTCCCTAGACAGGGGATCCAGGGCTGCGTGTGAAGAGGGAATGTGAACCGACAGAGGCTGCATGCATTCCTTGTCCTCACATGTGACAGTACCAGCTCCCTTGAGCTCCTGCAGCTGTGACTTGCCCATGACGATAGAATGTCACCTGGAACTACAAGCTAAAATTGCTTTGGGCTGGTATGAGATGACAAACAGATAATTGTCTTAGGCCATGAGTTTTGTGGTTAACATGTTACATAACAGTGGAAAGTTAATACAGACCCATGCAAAGAAACAGCTTCACAAAGGCCTCAGTGAAGAGACATATACAACTCAGGGCTCAGACAGATCGTAAAAGGAGTTGTCCCAAAATATAAACATACATGAACATTCCAGATGAGCCAGGCAGGCCCTGAGCTATCTACACAGGACTGGGGTTGGCGTTAGGTGGTCCAGTCTGGCAGGAAACATCAGGATGGAGCCCACTGGTCCATCAGTGGCTCAACTTCAAACATAATGAGGGAGCAAGTGTGATGTGGAAGAAGAGAAAGAGGACAGTGGTCTCATGTGTCCTCTACCTCGGGGGTGTAGAGCAGTTAAGAGAGCCTGTTGAACACAGACCCTCGTCCTGCTGCCTCCCTAGGAAGCTGCAAAGACGGAGATCCCTGAGACTGACCATTTCCCTCTTACAACTTGTTACAGGAAAGAGCTGAATGAGAAAGAATTACAGGCAAGAAAATAAATGCAGTGTGTCTCACTAAACATGGAATGGGCAAATGTGACAGTAGAGCATATGGAAAATATAATGGGAGCATATGTCAAACAATTTTGAAATATAATTCAGCATCAGAAAGCCCACTTCTCCTTTGATAATCATTATTAAACTGTATGTAACACATTCAAGGAAAAAAAAAGAACTCATAGTGTGGACTTACAGCCGGGCAGGTGTCATTGGGGTTGTAACTTCGGAAGCCACAGCAGTTCAAGTTCCTCTGGAGATCATTCCGAGCACTTGCCGTGTTGTTCCAGCCAACCTCCAGCAGCTGACCCTAGGAAACGCAGTCCACAGACGCATTGAAATATATCATCCCCACATAAACTACAAATGCTGAGTGCTACAGATAGTATTCTAAGATCTGTTGCATTCGTTTACTGTGGAACATTTGCTTTAATGATGCAAAGATGTGCTGCATTCTTTATGTTGCATTTCCTTAACTCTGTGAAGCTGTGTTACTGTGCCTGTCTAAAACACCTGATGGTCTAATAAAGAGCTGAACAGCCAATAGCAAGGCAGGAGAAAGGATAGGTGGGGCTGGCAGGCAGAGAGAATAAACGGGAGAGAGGCAAGAAAAATCAAGGAGCAAGGAAGCAAGAGAGACTGAGGAGTGAGAAAAGAAGGGGGGCAGCCACAGCCACACAGCCACAGCCACACAGTCACACAGCCACACAGCCACACAGCCATGGAATAAGAAGGAATGAAAGATATAAAGAAATAGAGAAAGGAAAAAGCCCAGAGTCAAAAGGTAGACAGGATAATTTAAGTTAAGAAAAGCTGGCAAGAAACAAGCCAAGCTAAGGCCTGGCATTTATGAATAATAATAAGCCTCTGTGTGTTTATTTGGGAGCTGGGTGGTGGGCCCCCAAAAGAGCTGAAGAGCCAGAAAGTAAAACCAACCAACAACAATGAAGAGCCCACAGTTAGCAGCAGAGTGTACATGAAATCAATAGTCTCTATAAAACTACTGCAACTCTTCAAAAGCTTATCCCCTGGGCTGTGGAAGGAAGGAAGGAAGGAAGGAAGGAAGGAAGGAAGGAAGGAAGGAAGGAAGGAAGGAAGGAAGGAA